TTTTTTTTTCTGCTTTGGTTTACTTTCAGAAGCTTGAAAGTAATTTCCAAATAAATGTTTATGAAGATCTTATAAATTAGTTAATAAAAACCTTCAATTTTTGAACTAGTTGAAGAGAGGAAGTGTCCTTTATTTTCAAAAGTTCACTTAATCAAAGATAAAGTCATTATGACAATGCAAAGAAGATTTATATTGTATACTTTAATTCAAATTTTCATCAGTAAAAATGTCAAAATGAAATTTATTAAGATTGCATTTTTATAAAATATTTTGATAATTTTCTGCTTGAATGTCTTGCATCTGGAATTAGAATAATAGGAGTTAGAATACTAAATAGAACTGGTTTTATGCATTCTTTTAATATCTCTTCCCTTTTGTTCATCTGATATTTCTTTGAATAGCCCAATTATGCTTCCAATAGTTGCTGTATTTTTTAAATGCTGCTGAATTTGTATTGATATCCTTTAGATAGCTTTCTTCTGTTTCTTTCTTGTCTGTGACAGATCAGGAGGGATCGGATGATGAAAATATGGTAGACAATTTTGTCACCTTTTTTGTGGCAGGTTTGTAAATTTACAGCTATTTACTTTTAATTTACAGCTATTCCAATTTAACAAACAAAATGTCTTCCATGTGTATTCCAGTACACTGTAATATGAATTGGTGGGATATGGACAGCAGTTGGTTTGCAAAGTAGGTTTTTGATTAGAGGCACTAACTTGAAATAGCAAGAGCATGCTTGGGGTAAAACTGGACTTTGGTTGGGCTTGTGACATAGTGGCCAAAAGAGCTCTTAATGTAAGCAGAAATGCTGCACGTGGCACAGGTTCAACTAAGTTGTTCCACAATGTCTCTATCTTACTAGAAAGCACAATGTGGAAGCCTCAGTCAAAGCTGACTCGCGTCAAATATTTTATTTATTCAGAATAAAAGGAAAATTAATGATGAGATTACAAATTTAAAAATGCAAAAATATTATAAAGAAATTTTTGAAATACTGGAAAATTAAAAAAAAAGTGAACTATAAGATAGAGATGACAGTTAAAGTGCAAATATAAGTGATAAGCCAAGAGAAAGGCCTGGATAATGACACTTTATACTGGATTTACCCAAAAGGTTTACTAAAATCTCAAAAAGCTTTGGATGGGAAAAAAATGGAGAGGGATTAAATTTATGATAACATCTGAATGAATTAAAGATCAAGATTGTTATAGGCAAAAGGAAGGAGTACCTTTTGGTTTGTTTGATAGCAATTAAAATAAGTTATAAGTTATATATAAGTTATATGAAATTCTGGAAACCCTTTACAAACTTTTGGCTGCCATCAGGACCAAAATGTTAATGATTTGCCTATGGATAAGGAATGGTTATGGGAAGAAGAGATACTTGTATGTACCATTATGGGGATAAAGAATTACTAAGGTTGTACTTGTGATGAAGATCAGAAGTCACTTTTTAAATTTCTTTCTTTCTTTCTTTCTTTCTTTCTTTCTTTCTTTCTTTCTTT